CCCCAAAACCCCAAAACCCCAAAACCCCAAAACCCCTTTTAGTAACTAGTTGATTGAGTATAGCCAAATATTTAAAATCTGCAAATTTGTTTCTGAAACTAAAAGATTGGGTTATAAATTTATGACAACTTATACGTGAACGAGGGACACAGGCTTCATTTATCTCTCTGAATAATCTTCAGAGCCTGTTTGATCAGACACTGGCCTGGCTTCAAAGAGAACTTCCAAGTATTTTCTGGCCCATCAGAGTCAACCAGCTTAATATTCTCAAGTTCGAACTGGGCATCTCACTCAAGTGTTTTTATTCCACTATTGGTGAACATGAAATAGTAGCTCCCTTTGATTTCGTTATAAACATAATAGTCAATTTTAGCTTCATCAACAAGAGGGTATTTTTGGCCCCGTTTCTTGATAGAAGTCTTCAAGGATGCATTTGAGAAGACTTTCTGTGGTGTAGTGTCTATCGTTTTGAATTTGTAATTTTGTTTATAAGCTACAGCATCATAGTCATTAATTATTTCTAGCTTCTTAATAACTTTGCAGCCTGGCTTCAAGAAAACTTTCCAGGTTGAAGATGCGTTATTTCGACCCCATTCTTTTCGTTGCTTCAATTTCTCTTTTCTTGCTTGTTCGACTATTTTCAAGTTCTTTAATTTGAAATCAAAAGCTGCTTCAAACTCAAGAGTCTTTTCATTGTTCTCGTATTGGAATATGTACCCTTTGGGATGCTCGAGAACATAGAAGTAAATTTCAAATTCTTCTCAGTCGGTCTTGACTTGATGCTTTTTGCCTTTAGTTTTGATATTTTTGATCAGGTCTTCTGTATCATAAGATATCTTGCTTTTAAAACCAACCGAAAGCATAGGCCTATCTGAGTTTCTTTTCAATAGCACCAACTTTTGCTTTCCTGGCTCAAGATCAATGTTAATTTTGGGAGTATCTTCTTCATCATCAACTACATAACCGGCCATGGAGCCGAAATTTAGCTCTTCGCTTAGAACAGAGGATGGAGTGTCATTTGTGTAAAAGATATAGCCATAATCGCATCCAGTGTCCTCAACTGACATCGCTCTCTTGAGATCAATTTTAAGTCCAGGTTCTTCAGAAGAGGCTTCTTTGGAATACTCATAAGGTTTGGTCTTCTTCTGTGCACAAGCAATTAGCATTTTCTCCAAAAGATCCTTCTTCTTGTAAGAACCAGTGACATCTTCCATGATCACCTTGTTCTCCGAATATCATGAGGAGTAGTAATCAATGCACTTGGTTTCCTCGCTCCACTCAATTTCAGCGTAGACCAAATATTTGCCTTTCTGGAGACGCCTCTGAGAATTCCAGACAAGCTCTCTTTCTTGAGAGAACTTGCCATCAACATAGATGAGTGAGTCTTTAGAAGGGTTTATTCTAGCAATCATTATGTTTCAGACGGAAGACTCAGCTTTATTTGCACTCCTCTTGGAGTAACCTCTGGTTTATTTGGTTTACAGACAGATATAGATAGCTATTTTCATGCAAATCTAATATAAAAGCTGAAAAATCCCCATTATTTGTCAATGTTAAGCTCTGGAACTTATACTCTGGCTCATTCTCAGTGATGGTAACAACTTTAAAGTACTTCAGAAAGTATTCAAAAGGAATGTAAAATCATCCTGGAGTTAAGATATCTCATTGTGAACTATTAAGAAGAGACTTTGTCCATCTCTTGTCGGTTTTGCTCCAATGCCCCTTCCATTCTAGAGTCCCCCACGGATTGTAAAGTCTTACCAGACGATGCTCTGTGCGCTTCACAGTGAAATGGGTGCATCCTATTACACTGTATCAGTGATTGGGGACAAGACCCTTTAGCTTCAAATCTACACCTTTTATTGCCTTGTAAGTGATGCCTCAGATGATGTGGTTCTTGTAAAGTGCCTGGATTAATATCTTCCAAAGCTCATGATTATTATCCTCTCTTCTCAAATTAATAACTTTAGATAGTCCTGGCATTATGAACGAGAGCACATCCTGTGGATATCCTTGCATTATGTTCTCAAAACTTCCATTTAGCTTGGCCCAGGCCTTCTCCAAGACCAAAGGCCAGATCAAGTTCTTGGTCGAACGACTGAATGCTGGTAGTTGGCTTTTGGGGTCCACAGGAAAATAATCATCAACTGTGACGATTTGGTACTTTCCGTTGATAATGAATCTAACTGCATATATTCCTGACTTGTTTGGTTTCTTGATGACAAAGAGTTCAGTGATTCTTGTAAAGTTAGAGGCAGCAGATGCGATTGATGAGACAAAGTATCATGTCCCAAGTAAGCCTTGCTTCAAGTCGAGAGGAGTTATTGGCTTGTTGTCGAAAACTTTAAACCCATCTTTGTAGATTAAGCTTGCTCTTTTCCATTCAAATTTTGACCATAACTTTTTTATTTTTGGATCCATTTTACATTCCAATTCATTAAAAAGGGATTCTTGGCAAGGTCCAAAATGAGGATCTTCAAATAGTTCCCCCTCTTTTATAATATCTTCATAAGGATATGGAGTTGTAGCTCTTTCAATCCTGCTTTCATCCATTAAAACTTTTGGTTTTATTAAAAATGTGCAAATTTTCAATTGCTTTATACTTTAACGGGGTTTTGGGGTTTTGGGGTTTTGGGGTTTTGGGG